CATCATCATCATCATCATCACCGTCACCATCATCATCACCACCACCATAATCATCGTCATCATGACCGTACACCACCACGACCACCATCATTATCATCATTATCACCATCCTCATGATTACCAGCATCCCCATAATCATCACCATCATCGTCGTCGTCATCATCCTCATTCTCATCCTCATCATCATCCTCATCATCCTAATCGCCCTCAACAGCCTCATGATCATCACCAGCCTCACCGTCTCCATCATCATGATTACAATCATCCTCGTCATCAGAATCAGCATGATCTTCATCATCGCAATCGTCTTTTCATCATCATCATCATCATCATCACCACAACCATCATCATCATCCTCATCATCATCACCATTATCATCATCACGGTCACCATCATCATCATCATCATCAGCATCAGCATCAGCATCAGCATCATCGCCACCAGCACAATCTCGATCTTCGTCACCATCATCACCATCACCATCCACATCATCCTCATCACCATCATCATCATCGTCATAATCACCATCCCCCTTACCATCATCATCATCACCGTCACCATTATCATCATCACCAGCACCATCATGATCGTCATCGTCATCGTACACCACCACGACCACCATCATCATCATCATCATCATCCTCATCATCACCAGCATCACAATCACCATCATCATCACCATCGTAGTTATCTTCATACTCCTCATCCGCATCATCTTCCTCATCGTCCTCACCACCATCATCCTCATAAACATCATCATCATCACTACCCTCACATCTCCATCAGCATCATCACCATCGTTATCATCCTAATCACCATAATCTCCAACATCGTAATTCTCATCAGCATCATCATCACCATCATCATCAGCATCCTCAGCATCAGCATCAGCACCATCATCATCATCATCATCAGCATCAACATCATCATCAGCATCATCATCACCATCATCATCATCATCTTCATCGGCATCAGCATCATCATCACATCCCCATCGTCATCATCATCATCACCACCACCATCACCATCATCATCAGCACCATCATCACCACCATTCTCATGATCATCATCATCACCGTCACCATCATCATCACCACTACCATCATCATCGTCACCATCATCGTACACCACCACGACCACCATCATCCTCATCCGCATAATCACCAGCATCACCATCATCACCATCGTCATCACCCTCATCATCATCATCCTCGTCGTCATCAACATCTTCATCCTCATCCTCATCCTCATCATCCCCATCGCCCTGATCATCATCATCCTTACCATCAGCATCATCACCACCACCCTCACCATCTCCATCATCACCATTATCATCATCATCGTCATCATCACCATAACCAGCAAAAACTTCATCATCGCAATCATGAGCATAATCAGCATCACAACCATCATCAACATCTCCATCATCATCATCATCGTCATCATCATCCTCATGACCATCATCATCATCTTCATCACCGTCATCCTCATCACCACCATCATCATCATCGTCAGCATCACCGTACACCACCACGGCCACCATCATCATCATCATCATCATCCTCCTCATCATCACCAGCATCACCATCATCATCACCATCATCATCATGGTCGTCATCATCATCATCATCCTCATCCTCATCCTCATCATCATTATGATCATCATCCTCACTTTCCTTATCGTCCTCGCCATCATTATCCCCATCATCATCATCATCACCCTCACCACAACCATTATCACCACTATCGGCATCATCGTCATCATCATAGTCATCATAATCTTCATCATCATCATCAGCATCATCATCCCCATCAGCATCGTAACCATCATCATCATCATCATCATCTGACTCATCAGCATCAGCATCGTCATCATATTCATAGTCATCATCGGCATCATCATCATCAGCACCATCATCACTATCACAATCCCAATCGTCATCATCATCATCATCACCATTACCATCATCACCATTACCATCATCAACATCATCAACATGATCATCATCATCATCATCACCGTCACCATCACCATCATCACAACCACCACCACCATTGTCATCATCGTACACCACCACGGCCACCATAATCATCATCATCATCATAATCATCACAAGTATCACCATCATGACCATGATCATCACAATCACCATCAACGTCGTCGTCATCATCGTCATCCTCATGCTCATCCCCGTCATCATCATCTTCATCATCACCATCATCCTCATCACCCTCGTCATCATCATCCTCAACATTATCAGACTCATAATCATCACCACCCTCACCATCTCCATCATCATCATCATCACCATCCTCATCATAATCATTATAATCTTCATCATCGTCACCATCAGCATCATCATATCATCATCATCCTCATCATCCTCACTTTTCAGCATCCTCATCATCCTCCTCCTCATCATCAGCATCAGCATCAGCATCATCATCACAACCATCATCATCATCATCCTCATCATCAGCATAAGCATCATCATCGTCATCATCAGCATCATCATCGGCATCATCATCATCATCATCATCATCACCATCACAATATTAATCACCATCACCATCATCATAATCATCACCATGACCATCATCATCAGCATAATCATCGTCATCATCATCGTCATCATCAGCCTCATTATCATCATCATCATCACAGTCGCCATCATCCTCATCACCACCACCATCATCATCGTCATCATCATCTTACACCACCACGACCACCATCATCATCATCATCCTCATCATCACCAGCATCATCCTCATCCTCATCCTCATCCTCATCCTCATCCTGACTATCCTCATCGTCGTCCTCATCATCATCATCATCATCCTCATCATCATCATCATCACCACCCTCACCATCTCCATCATCATCAACATAATTGTCATCATATCATCATCATCATCATCATCATCATCATCATCATCATAATTTTCGTCATCGGAAAAATCACCATCATCATCATCAGCATCCTCATCATCATCCTCATCATCATCATTGTTATCATCATCATAGCCATCGTCATCATCATCATAATCATCATACTCATCATAATCATCATCATCCTCATCATCATCACAACCATCGTCATCATCATCGTCATCATCATCACAACCATCATCATCACCATCATCGGCATCGTCATCATCACAACCATCATCATCCTCCTCATGATCACAACCATCATCATCCTCCTCTTCCTCCTCCTCCTCATGATCACAACCATCATCATCATCATCATCATCATCATCATCGTCATCAGCATCAGCATCAGCGTCACCATCATCCCCGAGATCCTGGGCGGAGCGCGCTCCGGGAGGAGGGGCCGGGGTGGAACGACTTCGTGGGGGACGAGGCCGAGGCCTCCAGAGGAGTCGCGGGGAGGAGCCACGGCGGGCGCCCCCGCGTCCAGGCCCCGGGGCCCTGCGCGGGGCAACTCCTCGGCAGGACGAAAATCGGAGGATACGACGTTCGGAAGAGGACAGCGGGTTCGCCTCCCTCGTCCTCCTCCCTCCTCCTCCTCCTCCCTTCTCCCTCCTCCTCCTCCCTCCCTCCTCCTCCCTCCTCCTCCTCCTCCTCCTCCCTCCTCCTCCTCCTCCTCCTCCTTCAGAGAACTTTCGAAGAGCACAGAAGGGGGGCTCTCCGAGAGCCGGCGGGTGCGGTATGCAGCGGGCGCCGCGGCTGTGCCGGAGCGCTCAGGGACGCTCAGGGAGCGATTTGCCTGAGGTCGCACATATGCTCCTACAGGCGGGTGGTGGACGAACAAGAAGAGCAGCCGAAAAAGCTCAGAAGTATACAAAAGCACTGGACAAACGGTGCCCAGACTACCTCTTCAAGCTTGGAATGCTCCTCCTGTAGAGGGACATGCCCGACTCACGATTTGCCCTCCCTCGTCCCAAGCCTGCCTCACGGGTGTCTCTTGGGGAGGAACGGCCCGCGAAGCCACGCCGCCCCCCGGGGGGAATGCAGGGCCCCGTCCACGGGGACGCTGATGGACCAGGACGGTTGTGCGCACCCAAGAGAGCTGTAGCCGCGGCTCAAGACATACCCCATCCGCATGCTGCTCCCATCGTACTGAAGGACCACATCCCAAACATGATTTCGAGCACTCCGAGAAGTATCATAACAATGTCTGCCCGACGCGCTGGCGAAGTGCCGAACAAGTATCGCCTCCCAGACCCCGACACGTAAAAACCCTGCAGTTTCGGTACTTCCCTGGTGCTCGAAATTCCTTCTGGCGATCAAGGTTAAAATAGGTTGGAACTTCATCATAACCCCATCCTTCGATCTCTCCAGACGGGCTTGGCGAAGCAAGTACTGGCCTGAAATGTCCTGTCCTCTGCGGCCCTGATGGATGATGGGGCCAAGAGCTCCAGGAGCCCGCGTCGTGAAACAACATCATGGCGCCGGAGAGGGTTTGAGGGGAGGGGTGGGAGGTAGCGTAAGGGAGACAGGGGCGGCCAGGGTCGTGGGGAGGGGCAGGGGGAGGGGCGATGGAGCGGGGGAAGGGGGGTCTGGGCAGGGCGACAGGGCGATGGGGGCACGGCGCAGGGAGAGGCGGAGGGGGAAGGGGCAAGAGAGTGGCGGAGGGCAGGGGGTGGGACGGAGGTGGAGGACGAGGGGAGGGGGCAAGCTGGGTGCGGCCGCGCCGTATGCGAGAAACATTAGGACACCCTCCCCGAACCGACCCGATCTTGTACCTCGGGCAGACCGCAGGGGGAATGATGGCAGGGGGTGGGGCAGTGATGCAGGGAAGTGCGAGGGGCAGAGGGTGGGGTGGGGGAGAGGAGAGGCGGAGCCGCAGGTATGTACAGGGGGAGGGCGAGAGGGCGAGGGCAAGCGAGGGACAACGGGGCCGTAGGGAGGGCGAGGGGGAAGGGGCAGAGCTCCTCCTCCTCCTCCTCCTCCTCCTCCTCCTCCTCACCCTCCTCCTCGTCCTCCTGCTTCTCCTCCTACTTCCTCCTCCTCCTCCAAAGAACAATCCAGTCGCCTCGGGCGCCGGGAGGAGCATCTCAACCTTGGCCACGCAGAGGCTCGCGCCGAGCAGGACCATGCTCATCCACTGCAGCACGCTGAAGCGCCTGCCCAGCAGCAGCACCATCCCCACCGCCGCGAAGATCACCTTGCTGTTGTTGAACAGCGCGAAGACGTGGGGGTGCAGGATCACCGTGGCAGGGATCTTCAGGTTGTTCTCCACCGCGTAGAGGAAGCCCGGGATGGCATAGTACGCCCACCCTCCGAGAGTCGTCGTCCTTCGAGTCTCCCCCGCCTCCTTCCGGACGGCATCGCCCTGCCATGACTCCACCGCCAGGCAGCAGATGATCTTGCTGCCTTCAATGAAGATCATCGCAGACGCAGTGTTGTACGCCAAGCCCTTACCGGTGCCCTTGGCAGACTCCCCGCTGGCCTTCATCAGGATCACTTGGACAGTGCCTATGAAGATGTAGTAGCCAAAAAGTGCCCATCTGAAGGGATCCATGTACTTCAAAACGACCTTTCTCACACGTCTGATGCGCCGAAGCAGCTGACGGCACATGCTTGAGCTGAGAGCTGAGCTAGTTATGATGCGCTCAAACCAATAAATGGCCGACACTCCCTACATTATTTTCTCTCACGAAACACGGCGCTCACCTATCCTCGGTAACGCACGCATCACGGCAACTACATACAGATCGAGCACTGTGGAAATAACGGCCTGCGACGGGAACCCCCGCGCTGACGCTCGGCATGAGACAAGGAAACACTAGAAACGCCACGCGGTCGAACACGTGGCCGAGCACGTGGCGGCATCAGGAGAGGAAGTAGGAGGAGGAGGAGGAGGAGGAGGAGGAGGAGGACGAGGAGGAGGACGAGGAGAAGGGCGACGACGACGACGACGACCTGCCACCCGCTACACTGTACAGCGCGCATCGCCATCGCGGAGCATCTATGGCGCCCGTTCCTCTGCGCCGGACCCGAACACCTGCACTGCGCCCCCACGCAGCAGGAGCTGCTCGTCACAACGACAAGTGTGGGGGCCGACTGCGACACATACTGCGAGGAGGACCGCTGGGGGGCCGCCTTGCCCTGCCCCACCCTCCCAGGATCGGTCAGCATCGCACGATAAATCGGCTCAGATCGGATCGGAACGGGTGCCAAAGCGGGCCGCATCGGCACGGAGTTGGAATCGAGTCGAATCGGCCGCGCCAGGATGCACAACAACCCAATTCAAGCATCGGGCCGCACTGGATCGTCGGAGTACCTCACTCGAACCGGATCGGGCCAGGCGAGACGGGCTGCGACGCAGCCGAACCGACCGAACCGTGCACATCCTCGCAGACATCCGACGACGCGCTGTTGCTCGATGTGTGGGCCCAGTGGCCCCAAACCCCTTCCTCGGGGGCACACCTTCTGGCCTGGGCCAATGTCTGATGGCCCTGGGGCCCGAAAGCGGCCCTCGGAGGCAGAATTTTTGGGGAGGCAGACCGATACCGCTACTCCCTGGACCTCTCCCGGGGTGCGTTCTGACCAGAATTCCGAGGCGAATCCAACGGTGGCGACGAGGGCCCCCGAGGAGGCCCAACAAGGGGAAAACGGGCGAAGGTTAGAGGTATGGGTAGTAGATCGAGTCCTCCTTTGCATCCGAGTCCTGACCGAACTGATCTTGATCTTAGAGAGAGCGTGATCCACCGCCGCTTTACTGTGGAAAATTGCCAACCCTCTCTCCCCCTCCCTCCGGAACCCGGGCCCCCCGAACCCCCCCCCCCCCCCCCCTCCGGATCCGGAAAACCGGGGGGGGGTCACTACCGGTTGGAATTTCCCCCCCCCCTCGAAAACCGGAGGGGGATCACTACCGGTTCGACCCCCCCCCCCCACGCACCGCCAGCAAACGACTCCCGGTCCCTACCACCGCTCGCATCACATCCCCCACTGTTGTTCCCAGCACCACTGTCCTCACCACCACTGTCCCCACTGGTTCCACCACCGTCCCTATTGTCCCCACCAATGCCCCCACCACTGTCGCACTGTCCCCACTGTTCCCACAACTGTTCCCACCACGGTTCCACTCTCCCCACTGTCTCCACGGACCCAACCACTGCCTATCCCCACTGTCCCCACTGTCCCACTGACTCCTCCGCTGTCCCACTGAGCTGTCCCACTGTTTCCACCACTGTCCCCACTGTCCCCACCACTGTCCCCACTGTACCTCTGTCCCATTGTCCCACCGCCGTCCTCGCCACCGCCTTTACCAGTGTCTCCACCACCATTGTACCCTCCACTGTCCCAGTGTTTCCACCTCATTCCCACTGTCCCCACACCACTGTCCCCACCACCACCGTTCCCACCACTGTCCACTGTCCCCCCTGTTCCCACCATTGTCCCCACCACTGTCCCCACCACTACCGTCCCACCACTGTCCCACTGTCCCCCCGCCGTCCCCACCACTGTCCCGCTGTCCCCTCACCACTGTCCCCACCAACACCGTCCCCACCACTGTCCGCACCCCCACTCGGTTTTCGAGGGGGGGGGGGGTTCGAACCGGTAGTGACCCCCCCCCCTTTTCATGATGAGCTGGGGGGGGGGGGAGGGGTTCGAACCGGTAGTGACCCCCCCCGGTTTTTGGAGGGGGGGGGGGGGAGGGGTTCGAAAAGGTAGTGACCCCCCCCAGTTTTCCGCCAGCAGCGGTAGAACACGCTCTTTCTGATCTTAAGCTCGAGCTGCCTAAGCACATGGTGGCAGCCCCAATGCTAATTAACAGGGGGACATGCCAGCGGGACGCGCCGCGGAACGTCCCAAGGGACGCGCCAGGCGACGTGCTAGGGGACGTGCCATGGGGACGCACCGCAGTACGTGCTAAGGGGACGCGCTACGGAACGTGCCAATGGATTTGCCACTGAACGCGCCAGGGCTCCTGGCGCGTCCCATGGCCCAGGGGACGCGCCGCGCGACGTGCCAGGGGGACTCGCCACGAGACGCGCCACGGAACGTGCCGTGGAACGTGCCAGGGGACGTCCCTGACCCAGGGCCAGGATCCATCGTAAACCAAGCTACGTCCGCGCTCCCAGGGCCACGATTCATCGTAAATTGCATTGCGGCTGCGCTCCCAGGGCAACGATCCCCCGTGAATCACGTGGCGTCCGCTCTCCCTGGGCCACGATCCCTCGTAGTAAACTATGCTGCGTCCGCGCTCCCAGGGCCACGATCCACCGTAAATTAGGTTGCGTCCGCGCTCCCAAAGCCACGATCCCTTGTAAATTATTCTGCGTCCGCGCTCCCAGGGCCACGGTTCCTCCTAAACTAGGCTGCGTCCACGCTCCCAGGGCTGAGCTCCCTCGTGAATTGCGCTGCGTCCGCGCTCCCAGGGCAACGTTCCTTAGAAAGTTACGCTGTGTTCGGGTTCCCAGAACCACCTTGGCATCCTGGGGCGCCCAGGCCGCTCGCGTTCTGCAAAACAAGCGTCTCGCTAGAGATATCCTCGAAGCGTCTCGCTCGAGACATCCTCGAGACCTGGGCACGTGAAAACAAGCATTTCACCTGACACATCCTCTGAATTCTGGTCCCCAGGAGAGGCAAGATCTTTAGCACAAAACAAAAGTTTCGCTCGAGACATCCTCAACACATTATGCAAGCAAGCGTTTCGCCAGTCCATCCTCATAATTCAATTCCGCTGGCCCTACGCGACCTCGTTAGTTATCGCAAAATAATTCCGCAGGCCCTACGCCAACCGATTCCAGGAATACGCAACTTAAACAAAACACCCTGGGCCCGCGCTTCGAGCCACAAGAGAAGGGCAGTCGATGGACACATACGTAAACCACAAAAAGATTCGAGCTGCAGGATACGGCCAATCCACAGGTACATACGTAAACACACCGGTTTCGAGCCACAGGAGAAGGCCAATCCATACGGACAGACATAAAACACGCAGGATTCGAACCATAGGAGAAGGGCAATACATAGGCACATGCGTAAGAAGCGCAAGATTCGACCCCGACAAGGGGCAATCAACAGGCACATACGCAAAAAACATCAGACTCGAACCACAGGAGAAGGCCAATCAATAGGCACACACGTAAACACACACACAGAATTCGAACCACAGAAGAAGAAGGTGTGAGGCCTCGGGGGGCTCGGGGGCGCCTGGAGGCTGCCAAAAATCAACGAGTCGACACCTGACACAAATCAACTTCGGACGTTCCGTCCCGGGGCCAGGGGGGGCTCGGGAGGCCAAGGGGGGAGGGCCGCCCAGAGACCAAAAAGCCAACGAACCGACATTGGATACAAATAAACTGCCTACGTTCCGTCCCGTGGCACGGGGAGGCCTGGGGAGGCACACAAGATCCGAGCCACAGGCGAGGGACAATCTCTAGGCACATACGTACAACTCCATGCTTTCGAGCCACGGGAGAGGGGCAATCCAGAGGCACATGTATAAAACACATGGGATTCGAGCAACATGAGAAGGGCAAGCCATGGGCACATACGTAAGACACGTGGGATTCGAGCTCCAGGAGCGGGGCAAGCTAAATGCACATACGTAAAACACAAAAGGTTCAAGCCACAGGAGAGGGCCAATGGAAGGCAAATATGTGAAACGCACCGAATTCGAGCCCCAGAAATGGAGCAACCTGTAGGAGCAGATGTAAACACACATCGGGCTCGAGCTGCAGGACAGGTCCAAAATAGAGGAAGACATTTGAACCATATCATATTCTAAACGCAGGAGAGCAGCAGACCATAGGCACAGAGTTAAGGAAATAATATTCGAGCCACAGGAGAGGGGCAATCTTAGGAGGATTCGTGAAACACACGATTTTCGAAACCCCAGGAAAGGGGCAAACTATAGGAACATGCGTAAAATACAATACTCAAGCCATAGGATAGGGGCAAGCTATAGGAACATCTCAAAAAACACACGGTATTCGAGACCCAGGGACATGTAAGACACATCGGGTTCGAGCCACAAAAGACGGCCAATACATAAGCACATATCTAAAACACATGGTGAACCGTAGGAAAGGGGCAACATATAAGAACATGCGTAAACACACATAGGAACCGAGCCCCAGGAGAGGGTTCCTTTAGGAACATACGGAAAACACGTAGGTCTCGATCCCCAGGAAAGGGGCAATATGTAGGAACGTATGTGAAACACACGCGAGTCGAGCCACAGGACCGTGACAATCTATAAGACCGTACCTAAACACACATCGAGTTCAAGCCCCAGGAAAAATGCATTTCAGCTGAAATCGAACAAACAAACACCATAGTGAGTCGCATTCATGAGCCAACAATCAAATCAGAACATCATCGTGAATCCCATTTCTGGATCTGCGAGGGCTGAAATCGAGCTAGAACGCCATAGTGCGTCGCATTTCCGAGCCAGAACACCATTGTGAGTCGATTCCGGACCATTCGGGACCGCCGACGAGTCTGGGAGACACCCCCCCTGGCCCCCCCTGCGGAGATTCTGGTGCCAGGAAATATTTGAACAACATGAGAACCCTGTGGCAAAACGCTAAGAGGAAACAACTGCAAGGTGATTGCGGGCGAACGCACACACACATACACACACGCTCAATACACAATGTTGGCAACCCCGCTA